ATATGCTATGTAAGGAACAACAAGAAACAAGATATATATAAATCATATATATTATAATATATGGCTTGCATACTAAATCCATTTTAGTGCATCATTATTAAAACAATATTAAAACAATAAAAACAATTAAATAATATTAAATCAATTTTAGTGCATCACAGTTAAAACACTAAATACCTGACTGAAAATCCATTATTATTATTATTATTATTATTACAAAACCACATTATACTGAAATTGTCAAGGTAGAAACATTTTTTTTCTCAGGATATTTCTAACAATAGCAGCCCTTTGTTCAAACATGTATTACTTGTGTTACATTCTGTGGTTTATTTTCTAGTATTTTAAAACATACAATAATTATTTAGATACGTCTCGAAACACCTTAGGCTGAAGATGACCTACACATTTTTGTTATGATAATTGTTTACCTCAGGAATAATAAAGTATCTAAATGCTTTCAACCAAAGTGTGCTCTTTAACACAAATGTATAGTACTAGTTATGTGTATGAAACAATGTACAGATACATGGACCAACTTAACTTCTTTCCTACAGAAAGCCCTTAGACAAGTCGTGCTCGGGTGCTTGTATTTATTTCCGCCAAGATCTTCCAACTCACCTACACCTTGAGATGTCTGTATTTGGGAAAGAGGGTTAACAGACCTTGATGCCTAAAAAGGGCAGGTCTGTCTGTGGAAGGAGCAGGCCAGCATGAACCCATGCTAAGCAGACAAACAGCCTCCCAGCTGGCTCCAGTCAAAACAGACCATGCGCAAAGTACAGCGGAAGCTCTCTCTTTTCCTAGTGCCCTCAGCACAGCACTAGAATTACATTTATGCTGGTTGGGGCTAGAAAGAGATCAGTATGGCAGGACAGAACCCATATATATATACAATTTGCAACAGGTGACCAGCACTCATGGATTCATGAAAGAGTTAAAACATCCAAAGTTTAATGAAAAATTAAAAAGTTGTTGACAGCTCAACGTTTCAGTCCTCCTCTGGGACTTTCATCAGGAACAATAAAGATATCACACAATACCCATACATAAATAGGCACAGCAATTAACATAATTGGAGATTAAAGGCAATAATGAATTAGCATAATTGAAAGCTACATTCAAGAAATTAACATATAAACATGTATATGCAAAAAACGAAATCCTACCTACCAGTGTGTGATTGCAGTGGCAGCCGGCGTTCTGAGGACGTCTATGCGCATGCGCGCCCAAAACCCCTGTCCGCGTGACCGCACGACACCCGTTGCCACAGCGACCGGAAGAAACCCCCCCGCGACACAGTGGCAGCGGAATAATCTGTGATCGCCACATATAAATGTACTGCATAGTGGGCTAAAGTGCTGAACAAAGAAAACAAAGTAAAGAGTATCCGGAACACCTATGGATATTCATGAAACCTCTGCCCCTCATAGACGTAGATATAAAGCATCCGTTGTCATGGAGACCGGAAACAATGCCGGCTCACTATGGCAACCAGGACGGCAAAAAACATATCATAAAGTGAATCAAGCAAAGTATCCACAAAAGGAAACTCCTAAGAGTGAACAAGTGACTGATAATAAAATAATACATAAACATACAACATTATCTTCTATATGTATCATATTAGGCAAAAGTGCAAAGTGCTTGTAATTGATAAAGACAAACTTGAAAGTGCATAGAAGGACTGACAAACGATAATAAAATAATACATCAAAGTACAACCTTATCTTCTATATGTATCATATTAAGCAAAAGTGCAAAGTGCTTGTAATTGATAAAGACAAACTTTAAAAAGTGCATAGAGTGACTAATGAGCTAAAAATAAGCTCATACATAAGATTATGTACTCTCTACATCTATGTCAAACTATGGTAAATTATAGGTGTACAAAATAATGAATAAATCCAAGTGTTCCTGTAAAGCACTGTATTAAAAAAAGGTGGCTATAAATAAACAGACATTAAAGGGGCTGGCGGCTCTGCAATGACAAAATCAAAAACTCAAATAGACTGTCAGAAAAATACATATATAAAATAAATCTATACAATGCTACCTATGGTTAAAAACCAACAAAAGGGGGAGAGTTTTAAATAAAAGAGTGATATGAAATCATTTTATTCAAGCCTTTCGGGGCTATAGTGCCTAGTGTATAAATCCAAAATGTCTCTCGATTCAAAAGAAGCTTGGCCCTATCCCCACCACGTTTAGGTGGAGGGATATGGTCAATAGCTAGAAACTTAAGGGCTGACAACAGGTGTTGATGGAGAAGAAAATGTTTCTTGAATGTAGCTTTCAATTATGCTAATTCATTATTGCCTTTAATCTCCAATTATGTTAATTGCTGTGCCTATTTATGTATGGGTATTGTGTGATATCTTTATTGTTCCTGATGAAAGTCCCAGAGGAGGACTGAAACGTTGAGCTGTCAACAACTTTTTAATTTTTCATTAAACTTTGGATGTTTTAACTCTTTCATGAATCCGTGAGTGCTGGTCACCTGTTGCAAATTGGATATTTGAATTTTCCCTAGGACTTCAAGCACCCGGTATGTGATTATTTAGTCAGAGTGCAAGGATATTATGTATTTTTATATTTGAAGAGTGTGGGGACATCACTCTACCAATGCACCGGCATACTCTGTGTGCTATACTGATGTTATTTGTACACATGAGCAATATATTTTTTTGGAGTGTGGAATTGCATACCTACCGGCATACTCTGTGTGCTATACTGATGTTATTTGTACACATGAGCAATATATTTTTTGGGAGTGTGGAATTGCATACCTATATGGTATATTTCAATTAGGAACCTTTCTTCCAGTGTACTTAGGTACATTTTGATACAGTGATATTATGGATGATTTTTTGTTACAAGCAGGGGTTTATGCTGAGCAGGCTGACACTTTACAATTTTCCCAGGATGAGGCCAAGGCTATTCTATGGGAGCAAACAGGATTAGAGTTACCCCATAATGTGTCTTTAAAGGACATTTATTTTCAACTATTACGCCTACATAAGAAACACATAGATCTGGATCTACATGGGCTCTTCCTCTCTGACTATTATAAAGCTAAGCGGATCCCAAGAGGCTTTAGAATTCTTAAAATTCCCACAATAGGCTGGGGTAAAGCAAAAGTCTGTAAAGACTGGACCTCTGTGCTTAATAAAGCCTCTTTAGATCTTATGCTTACTATAATTCAAGACGTCAAAACAGACATGGAGGATGTTACAAAGAAGATTGCTGAATTGGAGCTGGAACATGCTGTAGTGTTAACAACACCTGAGGGGGTTAAACTCCTGAATAAGTTGAAGGGTGAATTACTTACCTATAAGAATGAATTAGTTAGATTCAAGAAACAGAAATTTGAGCATGTTCGACAAGACTACCAAGACCATCGTGTTTATAGATGGCTTATGGGTGATAGTATACCCAGACTTGGACGTCAGCGTCAGAGGATTAGACGCCCTCAGGTACCTACCATCGATATCAGGCGACTCATCAGAGAATGAAATCCAGGGGGACTCTAGTCCTTTTTTAGACGAACTGATAATGGGAACAACTACGAGAAGTCTGGGCAGAGGTATAGAAGGAGGAGGAGGAGAACGCGGAGGGGAAATAAAGGCAAGACCCCTTTTTCGGGGAAAACCGCCACTACGGAAATAACCCCTATTTTCAATTTGTCCCAGAGATGTTTGACTTCATACGAGACTGAAATCCTCAACAAAGGACTCTCCTTCGTACCTACTGCTATTCCGAATCAATTCAAATGGAATACGGAACTTTTCAATTTTGGTAGACAGATGCGACTCAAGGAATTTTTTCTCCATTCTGAGAAAGTGTTGGGCTCCTCTTCTACTCCGTCACATGAATCTCGATTTAATGTCAAGTCTAAGTTTGATCCATACACCAATAAGGCATCAATTAAAACATATCTATCTACCGTTGACAATCTTGCACAAGAGGTGATCAGCACTCATAGATGTAAATATAGAAACATTATAGCACGTCAATTACAAGGTATTAAGAGTTTGGCCAATGACAGTTCTATCATAATCCGCCCAGCCGATAAGGGAGGCGGGATAGTGATCATGGATTATACTAACTATTCCGAAGAGATTCACCAACAATTACGGAACACTACAACATACCAACAATTACCGGGTGATCCTACGGATAAGATAAAAAGGAAAGTGGAAGTTATCCTACAGAGAGGTGTAGAATCGGGCTGGATTAATATCCAGTTGAGCGAATATCTCCTAAAACACCATCCTCGTACGCCGGTCTTATATACAATACCAAAGATTCATAAAGACCTGGCTAATCCCCCTGGAAGACCCATTGTTTCGGCCATTGATGGGCTACTTGAACCAATAGCCAAATGGCTCGACTCGCTATTTCAACCTCCAGTTATGGAACTTAAGACTTGTATCAAAGACACACCTAGCTTGATCACTGCATTGAACCATCTGGATTTGAAGAAAGGGATTACAACACTTTTCACTATGGATGTGGGTAGCCTTTATACCGTTATTCCTCACAAACAAGGCATTGAGGCTATGAGATTAATCCTTAGTTCTTCTACATCATATGAAGGCCCGCCCATCGAGTTTGTTCTTGAATTACTCGCTCTTGTTTTGAATAACAACAATATTTTCGCTTTGAAGAACAATGGTACCTCCAGATCTCCGGTACATCTATGGGGGCCGCTATGGCCCCCATGTATGCTAATGCATATATGTATATATATGAACAACGTTATATTCTATCTAAGTACGGCCAATTTATCCAAGGATATTTTCGCTATATTGACGATCTGCTTTTGCTTTGGAGTGGCAGTACCATAGAGGCTATGGATATGGTACAGGCGCTTAATCAGATTGAAAGTCCTATTAAAATTACGTCTAACATCAGTTCGACATCAGTACAATTCATATTGCCTCTATAGGAAACCCACTGATAGGAATACTATTTTACATAGCACTAGCGCACACCCGATGGCGTTGAAGAGGTCTCTACCTAAAGCTCAATTTTTGCGAGTGATTCGCAATAACTCGGATGTAAATATCATGGAGGAACAACTTAAAATGATGATGGAGAGGTTCCTGGAACGCGGCTACCGACGCAATGACCTAGTGAGAGAATTAGAAGCAGCTAAGATAGCTAACTCTCCTAGAGCCAAGGATGGTGCCCCTAGGTTGGTTTTTCCAGTTACCTACCATGATGCTTCCTTGGAAGTCACAAAGATTATCAAAGACAATTGGAAAATGTTGTCATGTGACGACACACTCCCCAAGGTTTTTAAAGAGCCCCCCCTTATCTGCTATCGAAGGAATAAAAACCTCAGAGACCTGTTGGTACATACGGATCCTTCTAAAAGCTATGAGAAGAACATTGGCACTCAGCCCCGGGGTAGTACTCGCTGCCTTGGATGCGTGACTTGTGGTCATATGACTCCTTTGCGTACCTTTCAACATCCACACAGCAATAAGATATTTCTAATACGACACACGATCACCTGCAAGACCTCATATGTGATCTATAAATTGTCATGTCCGTGTGGCCTCTGCTATATAGGCACAAAAAAACCAGACATTAAAGGGGCTGGCGGCTCTGCAATGACAAAATCAAAAACTCAAATAGACTGTCAGAAAAATACATATATAAAATAAATCTATACAATGCTACCTATGGTTAAAAACCAACAAAAGGGGGAGAGTTTTAAATAAAAGAGTGATATGAAATCATTTCATTCAAGCCTTTCGGGGCTATAGTGCCTAATGTATAAATCCAAAATGTCTCTCGATTCAAAAGAAGCTTGGCCCTATCCCCACCACGTTTAGGTGGAGGGATATGGTCAATAGCTAGAAACTTAAGGGCTGACAACAGGTGTTGATGGAGAAGAAAATGTTTCTTGAATGTAGCTTTCAATTATGCTAATTCATTATTGCCTTTAATCTCCAATTATGTTAATTGCTGTGCCTATTTATGTATGGGTATTGTGTGATATCTTTATTGTTCCTGATGAAAGTCCCAGAGGAGGACTGAAACGTTGAGCTGTCAACAACTTTTTAATTTTTCATTAAACTTTGGATGTTTTAACTCTTTCATGAATCCGTGAGTGCTGGTCACCTGTTGCAAATTGGATATTTGAATTTTCCCTAGGACTTCAAGCACCCGGTATGTAATTATTTAGTCAGAGTGCAAGGATATTATGTATTTTTATATATATATATACATATATATATATATATATATATATACACATACACACACTGGGGTCACTGATGCCTGGGTGCAAGCATATTTTTGGTGCCCCCCGGTGGGTGTAGCTATATTGCTAACTCCTCCCCTTTACAAACATAGCACTTCTAACCATACCCAATTTCTATGGAAACCCCTAGCCTCCTGTGCCCTTATGTACCCCACCTTCACTCCTGTGCCATCTTTAGCCCCTTCCCCTCCTGTGCCCTTATTTGGCCACCCTCCCCCCCTTTCCTGTGTGTGCTCACCTAACAGCTTTAACTTCCAGCCCAGCCAGCATTCTAGGAGCTCTGAGGGACTTCAGACAGGAGGTGGAGCTTAAAACAAAGGGTGGGGCTGAACCTACCACCGCAATGCGCCTCTACTCACAGAGCGCCTGGGCGCTGTGCACCCCATGTACTCACCCAGGATCGGCTATATATATATATATATATATATTTATACACACATACATACATATACATATACACACACACACACTGAACAAAATTACAAACGCAACACTTTTGTTTTTGCCCCCATTTTTCATGAGCTGAACTCAAAGATTTTTTTCTCCAAGACTTTTTCTATGTAGACAAAAGGACAATATCTCTCAAATATTGTTCACAAACCTATCGAAATCTGTGTTAGTGGGCACTTCTCCTTTGCAGAGATAATCCATCCACCTGGCCACAACAAAAGACCACTCTAAAATGTGCAGTTTTACTGCATTGGGGAGCCCGGGAGGGGGGGGGTTGGGAGGGCTGGGGGGGTCTGAAAACCAGTCAGTATCTGGTCTGACAACCATTTGCCTCACGCAGTGCAACACATCTCCTTCGCATAGAGTTGATCAGGTTGTTGATTGTGGCCTGTGGAAGGTTGTTCCACTCCTCTTCAGTGACTGTGCAAAGTTGCTGTATATTGACAGGACCTGGAACACGCTGTCGTAAATGTCGATGGGTGACATGTCCGGTGAGTATGCTGGCCATGCAAGAACTGGGATGCTTTCAGCTTCCAGGAATTGTCCACAGATCTTTGCAACATGGGGCATTATCATGCTGCAACATAAGGGGATGGTCGTGGATGAATGGCACAACAGTGGGCCTCAGCATCTCGTCACGTTATCTCTGTGCATTCAAAATGACATCAATAAAATGCACCTGTGTTCATTGTCCATAACATACGGCTGCCCATATCATTACCCCTCCGCCACCATGCGCCACTCGATCCACAACATTGACATCAGCAAACCGCTCACCCGCACAACGCCATACACGCTGTTTGCCATCTGCCCTGTACAGTGAAAATAGGGATTCATCCGTGAAGAGAACACCTCTCCAAAGTGCCAGACACCCTCAAATGTGAGCATTTGCCCACTCAAGTCGGTTACGATGACGAATTGCAGTCAGGTCGAGACCCCCCAATGAGGGCGACGAGCATGCAGCTGAGCTTCCCTGAGGCGATTTCTGACAGTTTGTGCAGAAATTCTTTGGTTATGCAAACCGATTGTTGCAGCAGCTGTCCGGGTGTCTCAGACGATCTTGGAGGTGAAGATGCTGGATGTGGAGGTCCTGGGCTGGTGTGGTTACGGTTGGATGTACTGCCAAATTCTCTGAAACGCCTTTGGAGACAGCTTATGGTAGAGAAATGAACATTCAATTCATGGGCAACAGCTCTGGTGGACATTCCTGCAGTCAGCATGTCAATTGCCCGCTCCTTCAAAACTTGCAACATCTGTGGCATTGTGCTGTGTGATAAAACTGCACATTTTAGAGTGGCCTTTTATTGTGGCCACTCCAAAGCACACCTGTGCAATAACCATGCTGTCTAATCAGCATCTTGATATGCCACACCTGTGTGGTGGATGGATTATCTTGGCAAAGGAGAAGTGCTCACTAACACAGATTTAGACAGAATTGTGAACAATATTTGAGAGAAATAGGCCTTTTGTGTACATAGAAAAAGTCAGATATCTTTGAGTTCAGCTCATGAAAAATGGGGGCAAAAAGAATAGTGTTGCATTTATAATTTTGTTCAGTGTATATATAACAAATACCATTTGTTTAACTTTTTTTTAAAGTATGCAGGCTTTTAATACATTATTTGTATAAGGTATTATTTATATATAGAATCCACAATCTTAGCTATTATAGTCAAAATATTGTACATTGGTTGTTCACTCAGTACCACAACTCACTGTTTAATGAATAAATGCCTAGATCATTTTATTCTTGAACAATAACATTCCTTTTGCAGTAAATCAGGCATTGTGTGACATTTTCAGCAAGCATCTACTTATTATCTCTTATATTAGCAATAACAACTTCATCCGCTGACTGTCCTTTAGGTTAGCAAGATTTCCAAGCAAGTAATGAACTGGCTGACCTATCATATTTAATAATGAAAAGTCATTAAAATAAAATAGAAAAAAAAAATGTGATAAATTAAAATGCTTTCATATTCTGATTTGAAAGAAGAAATGGTTGTCTACAGAAGTGATATACTGTTTAATCCAATTCATGATTCACTTTCTCAGGAAGTTTTAAAATAACCACTTCACACATTTTCATCCTAGATGATATTTAGTTCAATATAAAGAAACGCAGCCTCCTCCATCCTCCTTACTGAATAAAATAAAAATCTGTATTTCTATTTATCTATTTTTTATTTTCGAGTATATTTAATTTGTTCTATAAGTTAGTTTATTGTTTTCATCACATATTAAAACATTTCTCTCTCTGTCTGCTGACCATGCTGGGCTGGTAGCAGACCACATCAGGAAGTGCCTTAAAACATCGGTGGTAGTCTGGAAATGAAGTTCTAATTTCTGATGCAGGGAATGAGCTTCCACAATCCACAAAGGGGTCAATATACCAGCCAGTGGAAAAATCTGCATAGCAAAGTACATAACAGTAGAAGACAGTAGACAAGCAATCAAAACCCATAGCTGTTTGCTCGAGCATGAGGTTTTTCTTTTAACTCCTGAACATGTCACCTTTTCTAGATTGTATTTTTTTTTAAATTTTTTTTACCAGGAGTCGGTGCTGAGTTTCGAAAACACCAGAATAAAACATGACAGATGTCATTATTTATAGGGTCAAGCAACAAAACATTACCAGATTTTGTTGACTGTTGTATTGTGTTATAAATTGTTCGAATTTGATGTTGGCTTTCTCTGTAGCAGCTGAATGAGGTGGCCACTGTACAAGCACCTCTACTAAAATGGTTTGACATCTTACCGTGGTATGGCTCAGGGGCTTACCTGACACCATAAGCACTATGGCAGGTGGGAAGGGTTATTGTTCTTGGACTGTTCTTTTAAACCTAGTGGTGATCATTTTCTTGTCTATTCACCAATTCTACTTTACCAGGATATCATGTAAGAATTCAGCATTGGCAGGCTGTAAAAATCTTGCTTCCTCTTCCCTCCAGATTGGAAAACTTCAAGTTTATCAGTTCAAAAGCAATCACAATTTTTTTTAACATTTACATTTTTTAAACTTTGTCACAATCCATCAGCATTACATTGTGAATCAATATGGACAATGCAGCAGTGGAATTGTGTTTTTTGTAGCAGTTTGGAGCAATCACACAATTTGATTGGCTGCGGATTGTCTGCTTTTGGCCTTTTCACTCAGTAATACTGTAATCGTCACTGAGGGTTTGTGATACAGTTTCAAGATGTCCTTTTTCATACTGAAAATCGGCAAGGTTTCCAAGGGGTAATTACAGCTAATTGTACTGTAGCCCAGATAAAGAGTCAGTTTTTAGAGTATTATTTTCAACAGATATATGGAAAGACAATTTCAGGATAACGATCAGTTTTACATCTGTATCCAGAAAAAAAGGTTCAAAAGTAACGAGGAGGGATTTTACACTATGTATTAAAATCAACATATGTTCACTCACTGAAGAGTCTTCTTGAGTGTATTAAGAACATATGTGGCTGTGACTGTGAAACAATGCGATGTGACTGGTGCTGAATATATTATGTTGTTAGAAATTTCTATAATATATGTTGATATGGGCATATTTTCAAGGCAGCAGTGTTATTTCTTTGTGGTATTGTTCACGAAACTGCTATGTCTAGTTTAATAGAATGCAAATTTTAATCAGACTGGAAAATGCAAACGTGTGCCCTGTGTTAATGCATGCCTTGCTGGTACTAAATCTTCATGTTTTGATTTTCTGTTCTGAAAAATTTAATTGCAGATCAGATG